GGTTTACCGATGGTCTTGTCCAAATTCTTCTGGATGAAGTTCATGGGGACGCCGTCGTGACCCACCACGCAAGCGAAGGAATCGCCCCGTTGCCATTCGCTCACCGGCACGTTCAACTTGCTGTAGACCGTGTAGGTATCTCCTTCTTCTTGAGGACCAAAGATGGAGAAACTACTGGGAGAAACGGGACGGTCTTCTTGGGTCCAGGTCACCAAAATGTCATGAGGCCGGAAACCCAAAATCAAACAGGTCAAAGTGGCCGTTTCTTGACGGGCCAGTTCTTCGGCCGGTGGGGGGAAGACGTAGACGGAAGGTGCCTTCACGGAGACGTCTGCGGGGTGGGCGTAAGAGAAGGTCAAGGGCGGTGGGAGGGATTGACTTCCTCCAGTTGACCCTCCCGGTGAGCTAGACCTTTCCGGTAGGCTAGACCCTTCCAGTAGACTGGCCTCATCCCAGAGTTGGATCTCCCAGTAGGCCAGACCCTTCCAGTTGGCTAGGCTCTTCCAGTAGACCCTCCCACTTGACCTCTCCAATGGAGAAGACCCTTCCAGTGGACAAGTTCCTTCCAGCAGACCAGCCCAGTTGACTCCCAGTAGCCCCAGGTTCTCCAACTAGACCCTACCAGTAGCCCAGACCCTTCCAGTAGACCCTCCCAGTTGACCTCTCCAATGGAGAAGACCCTTCCAGTGGACAAGTTCCTTCCAGTTGACTAGACCCCTCCAGCAGACCAGCCCAGTTGACTCTCCCAGTAGCCCCAGGTTCTCCAACTAGACCCTACCAGTAGACCAGACCCTTCCAGTAGACCCTCCCAGTTGACCTCTCCAATGGAGAAGACCCTTCCAGTGGACAAGTTCCTTCCAGTTGACTAGACCCTTCCAGCAGACCAGCCCAGTTGACTCTCCCAGTAGCCCCAGGTTCTCCAACTAGACCCTACCAGTAGACCAGACCCTTCCAGTAGACCCTACCAGTCGAGCACTCTAATGGCGAAACCCGGCCGCGTCCCCTTTCCACCCATCATCTTCTCGATGACCACCGTGGTGGAAAGAAGCCCTTCACCTCGGAGGATGGGATTTAGGGTGGGAGAGAAGACCCGGGCGCCTACCTATGTCTTTCTTAACGGACTTGCTGATGGGTCCATCAAGCTCGGGACCGTTGACGCTGCAGGTGAACTTCTCCCCGGAGTTCCACTCGTCGGCGCAGATCTTCAAGGTGCTGGTGAGACGGTAAAGACCGTTCTCCAGCTTCTCCGGCGTCCCAGAGGTCACATCCAAGGCCTTGCCTTGATCCCGGCTCCAGGAGAACTTCACCTCCTCGTACGATTTCAGGTTGGTGGCCACGCAGGTGACGCTGGCGTTCTGGCTGAGGTAGAGGTCCTCCAAGGATGGGGGGATGATGGTGACCTCCACCCCCACGCTGACTGTTTGGGATGGGTGTAGGGGACTATTTTAGCCCCAAAAAAGTCACCTTCACCTTCCCCGCCCTTCGTTGCCACCGCGGGCGTGGAGTCGCGTCGCCTTAGCCGGCGGCGGCGCGTGGGAGTCATCACGGGAAGGTCGCGTGATGACGTGTTTGGGTCTGCACCCGTCCGTCCAGCCCAACCATCCACCCATCCATCTGGTGGCTCCATCAACCCTCTCCATCTCTAGATCCTTCAACGACCTGCCCACCATCCATCCACCCATCCATCTGGTGGCTCCATCAACCCTCTCCATCTCTAGATCCTTCAACCATCCATCCATCTCTACGTTCTCCACCCACCCAACCGTCCTCCCGGTCAACCAACCCTCCGACCGCCCGTGTCTACGTGTCTCCACGAACCCAACCAACCCCCTCAAACTTCCCACCACCCGTGACCTTCCTCAGCCTCACCTGAGCAGAAGGTGCTGATGTTGAGGACGAAAGGTGTCTTCAACGACGAGTGGGTCACTCTGCAGGAGAACTCGGCTCCGTTGTTCCAGCTCTGCTGGCTGACGTTGACCTTGCTCGTAAGCGTGGCCTTCTCCTTGGAGCACTGGTCACAGGTGTTGTCCTCCTGGGGCAGGTCCGCCACCTCGTGGTTCACCAACCATTCCACCTGGGCGTCACCAGCTTTATTCCCCTCGACGAGGCACAGCAGAAGGACCTTTCCCTCGTCATGGTACTGGTTTGGGTCGCCCAGGAGCTTTGTCCTCAGGGGGTCAGAGCAGCAAACATCATCTTCTGAGTGGGGAGATCAGAGACAAGAGTTGACCGAGACATCGTGCAAGGCTGGGAGCAACCCCAACCCATCTCGGTGTCCACCAAGCCATCACACAAGG